CGGTTGGGGGTTGTGTACCTGAGGGGGCGTGGCCGCTGCCCGTGGGCCGGACTGGAAGGAGTTAAGCGGAGGCCCGGCTCAGCCCCGCCCCCGGCAGGCCGCGGAGCCTGAGCCCCAGCGGCGAAGCGGAGCCGCGGCCGCCCGCCCGCCCGCCCGCCAGCCCGCCTCCGCCTGCGGGGAACCCGCCCGCCCGCCTGCCCGGCGGCGCCCAGGAGAGACACCGCCACCGCCCGGCCCAGGCCCAGGCCCAGGCCCTGCGCAGAGCGAAGCGGAGCGGCGTCTACCCGGGCCCTGCAAGCCGGCGCGGCGGGGGCGGGCCCGAGATCTTCCGCGGATCTTCCATTCTCCAGGGCAGGAGCGGGAGCCCCAGCGTCCCGGATCCGGCTGGGCGCACGCCCATGGCAAGCGCGGCCTGCCCGGGCCCCGGGGACCCTGCCATGTGAGGCAGGCTCGGGCTGGGGGCCCGGCCATGGCCGGGGAACGGCCCCCACTGCGGGGCCCTGGGCCAGGGCCCGGAGAGGCGCCGGGGGAGGGGCCCCCGGGACCGGGGGGCACGGGTGGAGGCCGGGGCCGCCCCTCCTCCTACCGGGCTCTCCGCAGCGCCGTGTCAAGCCTGGCGCGCGTGGACGATTTCCACTGCGCCGAGAAGATCGGGGCCGGCTTCTTCTCTGAGGTCTACAAGGTAGGATCAGCAGAGGGGCGGGACCGAGCCTTAGACGGGAGGCTGGAGCTAGGGGACCGAGATCCGGACGACCCGCGCGACCTGGCGGATCTGCCCTGGACTCGCCAGCCTATGCCGCCCCCAGGTTAGGCACCGACAGTCAGGGCAAGTCATGGTGCTGAAAATGAACAGACTCCCCAGTAACCGGGGAAACACGCTACGGGAGGTGCAGCTGATGAACCGGCTCCGACACCCCAACATCCTAAGGTGAGCGGCCCCAGCCGCTTGCTGAGAAGCTTGCTGGGAGAAGAGGAAAGATCCCGCGGGAAAAGTGGAAACTGTAGAGGGCCTGGACTCTTACAGCCTACCCTCCTATCTTCTCCATCCTCTTCCAGGTTCATGGGGGTCTGTGTGCACCAGGGGCAGCTGCACGCTCTTACAGAGGTGAGGATGGGCCAGGAAGGAGGGGACCCCCACCACCACCAAGGGGAGAGAGAATGTCCGCGCCCAGTGCATCTACAGAGTAATACTGAGAGGCAGCAGGACCTCCTCCCATGAGAGGCTTCCCTGAACTTCCTTTGGGCTAATCACAAATAAAATGCCTCAGCTGGTCACATTCTCTATATGCACTATAACAATGCTGTCCAATAGAACTTTCTGTAGTGATGAAAATCTTCTATAGCTACATGTGGCTAGGGAGCAGTAGAAATATGACCAGTGTGACTGAGGAACTAAATGTTTAATTTTATTTAAACTTAATAATTTAAATAGTTGCACATGTCTTGGACAGGACAGCCCTAGAATATGAGTGGGGGACCCTAGACCTAGAGCACAGACTCACCCTTCTGACCTTTGTGATCCCTCCTCCTGAGTGTCCCCTGGCTTATAAGTGGGAGACCTAGAGAACAGGCGGAAACCTTAACATTCATTCCCCTTCTCCCCCTATGCCTCAGTATATGAATGGGGGGACTCTGGAACAGCTGCTCAGCTCCCCAGAACCCCTATCCTGGCCTGTCAGGCTCCACCTGGCTCTGGACATTGCCCGTGGCCTGCGGTACCTACATGCCAAAGGTGTATTCCACCGAGACCTAACATCCAAGGTAGGCTGGCCAGGTGGGTGGAGGCATGAAAGGGGATTTGAGGCTATTACATTGTAACCGGCCCATAGATGTTAGAATATGGGTAGTAGACCTGTTAGGATGTTGGAGTAGCAAGGCCCTGGAGAATGGGGACTGGGGTGAGGGGGAGCTCTGAGGGGCTGAGTCCCATGCTATGTTTGGAGTGATAGATGATGTTGAAAATTGGGGTGCATTGGAGAACTGGGAGATCAGAGAGGGTTGGGGTTACTGTGGAGTGACAGGGCTTTGGGGTGTATATTGGGAGATCAGAGAACAGAAGGTGATGGCTATATGTATGTCAGAACTGTCTGATCCGACGGGAAGACCGAGGCTTCACGGCTGTTGTGGGTGACTTCGGGCTGGCTGAAAAGATTCCTGTGTATAGGTGAGGTGAATGCCCCTGGGCCCCCCCAAACTTTCTAGAAGGTCCCTATCTAAGTGAAGCCCCCAGAGAGATTTCCCTTGGAGAGGGGAGGGGGCTGACCTCATCCCCTTTTGTTTAGGGGGGTTATCTGAGTGGGGTGTCTCTGATCACTCTGCCCCTACCCCTGCAGGGAAGGGGCAAGAAAGGAGCCATTGGCTGTGGTAGGTTCCCCATACTGGATGGCTCCAGAGGTGTTGCGGGGTGAGCTGTATGATGAGAAGGTAAGACATCAATCCTTCAGATTCCAAGGCCTTCCAGAGACCCTTGAGATACTTTTATAAGGCCCCATCCCAAGTTCTTTAACAGCCATACAGAATATTTAGGAGACCCCCAAATTCCTCCTTGCCCCCTCATAGGCACCCCTCCAACGCATAAAACTATCAAGACTTCCCCCAAATTCTGACATATTCTGACAAAATTCTGACATGAAAACCGTCAGTTACTCCCGCTGACATTCTGTCCTCCCCTCAGGCCGACGTCTTTGCCTTTGGGATTGTCCTCTGTGAGCTCATTGCACGAGTACCTGCAGACCCAGATTACCTGCCCCGAACTGAGGTGAATGATGTCTCCAGGTTTGATAAGGGGGAGCTCCAGACTGGGCAGCTCATAACCGAGGAGGGTTCCCTGGAGGTTGAGGTCCTGACTGGGGATCAGAAGGCGAACCCAAGGAAGGCTGACTTGAAGGGCCCTCCTCTCTGTCCCCGCAGGACTTTGGCCTGGATGTGCCTGCTTTCCGGACCCTGGTAGGGGATGACTGCCCACTGCCCTTCCTGCTCCTAGCCATCCACTGCTGCAGTGTAAGAGCCTCTCTCTCCCTGCCCACCACCCCCATCCATCAGCTGGCAAGGCTTTCCTCTTCCAGGTGGTGGGAGGAAAACATAGGGACCCTCTTTTGGAGCACTGAGTGAAGCTGTCCCTGTCTCTACTCATCAGATGGAACCAAGCACTCGTGCTCCCTTCACCGAAATCACCCAGCACCTGGAATGGATCCTGGAGCAGCTGCCTGAGCCAGCCCCCCTCACCAGAGCTCCCCTGACACACAGTCAGAGTAAGTGAGCATGACCTTGACCCAACTGAATTCCTTCTGCCTCTTCCTTAGAACTCGGGATTAAGACTAAGTGTATTTATTAGTTGGGGGGTGGGGGTGTGAAAGGACATCTCAAATAAGATATTTCCAAATTCTAGAGCCAAGGGAGGAGAAGAAGGAAAGAAGAGGTAAAGGAGGGCTAGAGGTCACATCTCCCCCTGTCCAAAGTACCCAGTGGGCCTCCTTTTTGTAAGCTCTGGTCCCACCAGCCTCCTGGTGAATAATGAGGCCTCAAGGAGCCATGATCAATGCTGAGAACAGTAACCACAGACTTCTCTATCTACAGGGTCTGTTTCAAGAGGGGGTCCCTCTGCCACACTTCCTAGGCCAGACCCCCGGCTTTCCCGAAGCCGGTCAGACCTCTTCCTGCCCCCGTCACCAGAATCACCCCCCAACTGGGGGGACAATCTGACTCGCGTCAACCCCTTCTCACTCCGGGAAGACCTCCGGGGAGGCAAGATCAAGCTGTTGGACACACCCAGCAAGCCAGTCGGCCCCCTGCCCCTTGTTGCACCATCACCACTGCCCTCCACGCAGCTGCCCTTGGTGACCACTCCAGAGATCCTGATCCACCCTGGGACACCTGCCCGTCGCTGCCGCTCGCTCCCATCATCCCCTGAGCTCCCCCGACGTATGGAGACAGCACTGCCAGGTCCTGGCCCCCCCAGTGTGGGCCCCTCGGCTGAAGAAAGGATGGAGTGTGAGGGCAGTAGCCCTGAGCCAGAACCCCCAGGACCAGCTCCCCAGCTGCCCCTGGCCGTGGCCACAGACAACTTCATCAGCACTTGTTCCTCAGCCTCCCAGCCCTGGTCCCCTAGATCAGGATCTGTCCTTAACAACAACCCCCCGGCTGTGGTGGTGAACTCCCCACAAGGCTGGGCTGGGGAGCCGTGGAACCGGGCCCAGCATAGCCTGCCCCGGGCAGCAGCCCTGGAGCGGACAGAACCCTCACCGCCCCCTTCAGCTCCCCGGGAGTCTGATGAGGGGCTGCCCTGCCCCGGCTGCTGTCTTGGCCCTTTCAGCTTTGGCTTCCTGTCCATGTGCCCCCGCCCCACACCAGCTGTTGCCCGCTACCGCAACCTGAACTGTGAGGCGGGCAGTCTCCTCTGCCACCGAGGGCACCACGCCAAGCCTCCCACACCCGGCCTGCAGCTGCCCGGGGCGCGCTCTTAGCAGTGGGGCCTGTGGTCTCTGGCCTCTAACTTTGGCCTTCAGGAAGCCCTGTGAGGACAGAGCACACATGTTGGACAGTGCCAGCCCCAGATGGGCTGACCGGCTCTTCTCCCCATGTAGGGGAACCTCAGCATGGATTCAAGGGACAGAACATTTCCTATCCAGCCCCTGGGTTTGCTCTTCTGTGGGCGATCACTGAACCAGACAAAGCATTGCTGACACATGAGACTAACACGTGCAATTATTTAAAAATATTTCAATAAAACTGCCTGGCTGGCTCCGGGCTGCCCCTATCCGCTCAGCCCATGCGCCCTCCTCCACCCCCCTGCAATTCCACCATAGGAAGTTCTTGGGGAGGCCAAAATCTAACGACTTCTTCACCCGTTTCCCAGGAACAGTCCAGTTTCTGGGGCAGGATTTCAAGCAGGCAGCAGGCTGGCTAGAAGTGTTGGGCATGGATCAGCCCTTGGCTGGGCACTGCCCAGGCAGAGTGACAGGACGCTGGAGGGAGATGATCTTAGGGCCTGCAGACTGCAGTTAGGGGTGAGGGGTACAGGCTCTTGTTGGCATGAGGACCTATAAGAGTAAAGCACCAGTGAGCTCTGCAGTTGACTGTTAATAAGAGCATTCATCCAGCTCATCCCACCTCCCTGGACAGCCACATCACCAGCCTCCCTTCAGGTCCAGACCTTTCCTGCCCGACCCCCGGACCCCCCTTACATAAGCAGACCAAGACCTTGAAGGCTGTAGAGGTGACCGTCACTCTCAGGAATAAGTTTTACCCGTGGCTTCTGAGCCCTTGCTCTGAGTTCCTCTCCCTCCCTGCTCCCCAACTCCCATGCCTCAGTGGATTTGTCATGCTTACCCAACTCAGGGCAAAAAGTGGTCCCTATCTGGATGCTTGAAAGCTGCCATCTCACAGATGCAGGGTTGTAGAAAACTACATTCCTCCTGCTGCACTCTTGGCCACTTGCTTTGTACCTTGTAACATCTTGAGCTTTCACCATAATACCTAACGATTGGTGAGGTAGAACTTGGTTAAGCCCTGCCCCTCCTCTGCCACCCTCCCTTCTCTCCCCTTGCCCTGCATTAAACACAATGAAGTTCTAACTTGCCCTGCCTGCCTAAGGCCATGTTTGGGTATGGTGCAGGGACAGATGCCTACTCCAACTCAAAGAGGCTTTAGGACCAGGGGAGGGGGAAATCACCCAAGGTATTAAAGATGGAAACTCCATAGGGAACATAGGAGATGACTGCCCTGTTTCAGGGTCCCTGGAGTTGATCTTCAGAGTTATCCCACTGCTCCCTCATTTCCCTGAGGCAACTCTAGTGCCCCAAGAGGCCCTGACTGAGAAAGTGCCACCTCAGTTTGGGTAGCCTTGTCAAGAGATGGGAAGTTAGAATGCCAGGGTTCGTGAGCTGTGAAGGCCTAGCTAAAGCCTCAGCTTCTCCCTCTGAGAGAAAGACGAGATAGGTCCCAACTTAGTAACTTAAAAAAAAAAAAAAAGTGCCTGGGACTGCCAGGTACTGGGAAGGGGCCAGAAAAGAAGACTGTCCTAAAGAGTTTTAAGTAAAGGGAGTGGACAAGTAGGCAATTACAATATTGACTTGTGAGTTTTGAGAGCAGGACCTCCCAAAACTTTGGGAGCAGGAGGGGAATCTCATCACTATGTCTTTATGAAGGAATTATGGAGTTGAATATGTCCAGAAGTCCTAACAGACTTACCGAAAGACCTGTTTACCATCAGCCTGCGGCAACCTCTTAAAGCTGTAAACAGCCCAAAATGAACCAGGCGGACTAATTTGTGTCAACATCTTCCTTGCACTGTTGAGGTTTGTAAGCTGAGGGGAGATTCAGAGAGACAAGAGGTATGTGGAGAATGATGAGAAATATTCCAGTGCAGGGGGGCCAGTGTAGGGAGGAGGGGACGTGGGCCGATGGAAGAAGATGAGCACAATAGGGAGGTCTCTGAGCTTTGACAAGAGGACTGTCTGGCGCAAGACATCAGCTCATCGGTGACCTGTCCCTGCGGCCTTCGAGCGCCACCTTGTAGATGCAGGCTCGCCCTTCAGTTCACCTCCCAGCTGGGTAAGAATTTCTGCCAGCCTTTGAAGGGGAGTCATTCCATGGGCTGCTCTGGTCATAATGAGCCAATCCCAACAATCCAGCCCACCAGATATGGGACCTCTCTGCCTGAGAGGCCAAGAGAGTCAAAGAAGCTGTTAAGCAGCCCTGGAAAGGGGACCAGAAAGCTGAGATGAGAAACAATTTCAAGTAAAGATGGTTCAGGAGCTCCGACTCTCGTGCCAACTCCGGCCAGTTGGTAGGGGCCGCCTGGAGCACTGCGCTGAGAAGCTGCATGGCAAAGGAACGCATGCCCTGTGTGCACTGCTGTTTCTGACTCGGTGACATCTACCCCTTTACCTAAGCGTACCTGCTACAGTCTGTGAACAAGGTATGCTTACTGAAAAAGAATAAGGACTGTCACTGAATGCGGCCAGGTCAGAGGACAGAGATTTGCAGTAGTTTTGGCTCTCCTGCCAACTTCTCCCCGTGTATGAGATGTAAAAGCAGCTCCTCTCGTTCAGTAGCCATCCCACGGGACAGCAGGTATCTATAAACCAGAAAGAATGTGACAGCACAGCCCAGACCCAGGAGGGAGATCTCCTCATTTAGGATGAAAGTGACAATTCCTCAGTCTGGTTGCTAACAGTGCCCACCTTGGTCTAGTCCCAGCACCTTCACTGACATCTAGCCCTTCATCTTTGCCATCTGTCTTTGGCATCCCCTGCGAATGCCATTCCTAGTCATACTTAGTAAAAGTCTTTCATATTCACAATCTCACTCCTTAACAGTCTAGGAGGTTTATTTTAATAGGGTGGTGATACTATTCCCAATTTCTGAATGATTGCAGTCTCCCCCCCGACACTTCGGCTGACCTCACCTGGGCCCCCCATAAGTGTTCAATAGGCCTCTTAATCATCTCAGTCGCTCCCTAAAGCATTCCTTGCTGCGTATTCAAAACTTGCTCACACCCTCCAAGCTCCTAGGCACCTCCTTCCCTCTCTCCACACTTCTGCAAGTAATAACCTTGGTTGCTGTTCTGCTGAAATTGTCAGACTCTTGATATGAACTCTCTCCGTTTCCTTCCCTTCCACCCCAAAACCTGCCTCTGCTCTGTTCCTCTGTTCCTGACTATCTCAAAGGAAGAAACATCCCTCTTTCTTTCACAACCCATACCCCAATTTGTGCTCCTGATCGCAACCCACCTCTCTCATTGCTCTGTTCCAGGGGTCCTACCTGCGGCACTCAAGGATCCTTCCTTCCTTCCTTCCCCAGCTCCCTCTCTTCTGTCTACATTGTCTCTTGCCCTCACCCAGCTACCCTCTTGAGTTTCTGTCCTATGGCAACTAAAAGGAATACGAAGTCGGTGCGGCCAAATGGAAGAGGGTGAGAGGGTAAGTGGCATGCTGAAAGGTAGGCAGGGACCTTGGAAACCAGGCTAAGGATTTTTTTTATTTTCATATTACAAGGAAAAGTAAGTCAATGTACGGTTTTACATAGAGAAGTTTTGTTCACTGGCTATATCCCAAGTGCTTGGGCACAATGCTTGGACGTATAGTATGTATGCCATAACTTTTGATGCAATTAATTAACTGGAATGACATGATCAGGTTTTTGTTTTTAAAGGATTACCCTGGCTGCCACGTGGCAAGTGGATGGGGGGAGGGGGAGAGGATGTTTAGGAGAAATGATGCAGCAAGCCGTTGCAGTGATCCTTGCAAAAGATGGGGGTGGGCAGAAATGTGAATGGACTCAGTGGTGGAAAATGGAGGGAATTCTTCTGATGGAGTAGGGCACCTGCTAAAAGTGAGAGAGGATGGTAGGATAAGGAGCTCACACGGAGAGCAAGCCAACCACTGCACAGCTGCCAGGCGGCACTGAGGAACGGGCTGAGGTTGAGACTAGAGTTTTGGTGGCACCAAGCAGAATGATAGCACAATACAGCACACCTGGGTGCGGCAGGAGCAAGGGGGGAGTTCATCCAGAGTTGAGATATTGCCACTCTGGTGCACCAGAAGGACAACAGAACAAAGGAGCCAGTGGCTAAAGTGATGGGCCCCAGAAGCCAAGATGGGCAGACAGAGTAGTGACAGCTGAGGCAAAGGGAGGAAACGGGAGACAGTGGGTTGGAGTCATCAATAAGGTTGAAGAAGAAGTGTGGGGAAAGCCTGGAGGAGGCAGCTGTAGTCAGAGCGGAGGTCTGAAACCAGCCTTCCAGCAGAAGAGCTGAGGTCTGGGGTGCAGCTGAGGGAATGGCCTGGGGGTGGCGGGGACTGAGGGTCACAGGGAATGAGAAGGCTAAAGACACGAGGGCTGGGGGTGTCTGCACATCAATTCACCCTCTTAAGCCTTGGGGGAGTCTCCCGATGCCCCTTGAGCTAGACAGAGCCGAACCTGGACCATAGGTAACCAGTGCATGAACATTCCAGTTGCCTTGGGCCTGGCTCCCTGCCTCCAACCTCAGCCTGCTTCTTGCACAGCCTCTCCCCTTTTCTGTGGCCCCCTCCCTCATCCCCACATACTGCCTGGGCTCCTGCCTTCAAAATAGATGAACTCTCCGCCCCAGCTCCTCACCCCCACCCACCTCATTGTGAGAGCCACCCACACCAGAGAGCTTCAGCTACCTTGCCCCACCGCCACACCGCACCTCATCAATCAGTAATTCTTAACCCTTGGGGAATCTCAGATGTAGTGAGAAATAATTAAAGCTATAGACCCTCTCTTTAGAAAAATGTGCAACCAATTCCACATCCCAGTTCAGGGGGTTCCCAGATCTTTGACACTGATATCAAGGGCACCTGAGTTTGGTGCTTTGGACAGTGTGATCTGCATTTCCAGCAGCCACCCTCCTTCCTCCTACAGGATCTGCCTGAGAGTTCTGTGAGTCGCCCTAAATCCAGAAAGCAGCTTGATCCTCCTCTCTATTGGCCACCACTCTCACTTGCTATCCCTTTTCTCAACAACTCAATGGCCCCCTGACAGATAGACCCCTGCCACGAGTGTCTCCTCACTTCAATCCATCCCTCACAGCAGACCCTCCCATCTCTCCTCTCCCAGAGCCGATACCTGCTAAGGGGCATGTGAATAAGGGCTTCAATGTGTCCTGCATGCTGCTCAGCCTCTGCTCCAAGGTCATCCTCTGCACCTCCTTACTTTGCAAGGCCTCCTCTGTCTTCTCCTTCTCAGACCAGCAGGCCTGTAACTGCTCTTGGGTAGCCTGGCAAACCTTCTGTTCCTCCTGTAGTGCTTCCTGACTCTGGGCTAGTTCCCTCCTGGACCCCTGCAGATCCTCTTCCTTCTTCCCCAGCTGGGTTATCTTTAGGTGGAGCTGCTGTCTCAGGCTGCTGTTAGTGGTTTCCAGAACACTGTTCGTCTGCTGGAGCTGCTGAGACACCTGCAGATCTGTTCGGCCATAATGAGAGATTTGGAGGACATCTTGAGCCATGCCCTGGTGCCCTGAGACTTCAGCGTCAGTCCTTTTTCTGCTTCTTGCAAATTTTTGCAAAACAGGCTGAAATATAAGATCTGACTGCCTCAAGCTTAAGGAGGTACTGGATTAGGTAAGGACAATTTAGGAAGACACCACACTCTAAAACAGACCTGGCTAGAAACTAGATGAAAAGCTAAGGATATGGTGGTAGTGACTCTGGGCCCTGCCCGGAGGAAGGGCAGCTGTTGGGGAGAGTAGGGGAGAAAACTGCTTGGGGCAAGTGGGAAATGGGGGACATCCATACTCACAGCGCACTCCCAGGCAGATGGCGGCCACCCCTAACAGCAGGCAGGTGAGGAGCAGGCCAAGAAAGAGGTACTGCGTACAGGCTGCGCGGCCTTCGGGAGACAGTGGGATGAAGGGCAGAGAGCCCCAGGAAAGTTTAGAGACTGAGGGGCTGGGTGGGTGGGTGGGGGATGTTCATGGGAAAGAGCACCCTCAGAGGATGTGGTGCCGGCATGGTGGGTTTTGTGGGGTAGTGAATTTCCGCAGGCAGCGGAAGGAAGATGTTCCAGAATAAGGGCTGGGATCGTTACTGGTAAGGATTGAGGAGCGCTATCTGGTAGGATGGGAACTAAATCTCAGACGGAGACAGAGGACGGGGGTATGTGAATGGGGACCACCGTAAAGGGGGAGGAGGGAGGATCTGGGTCAACCGGTGGGAATGATACATATGGGTATAGGGGTCAAAGAGGCAGTCCGGAAGGCTGCTCCCCGGGCTCACTCTCGGTACCGGACCCGCACATCGCCGGGCCCAGCACCAGCCCCGCTGGGACCGCGCCAGCACCGTACTTGGTGACAACCCCGCGGGGCGTAGCGGGGTCGGCGAAGTGGGAAAGGCCGCCCCGCCCGAGGCCCCGCCCTGCCCCGCGTGCCAGAGAGCCGGCGGGGCCGCCGAGGGCGCGCGCGGGCGGGGAGGGCTGGGTACTCACCCGCGAGGAGCCTCCCGGCAGCTGGTGACGTCACGGAGCTCCAGGACGCAGTTGGCCGCTCCGACTGGAGCCCTGAGGACCCGCAGCGAGTCCAGTTTGAAGAATGGAAGCCCCGGGAAATTCCCCTTCTTTCTACCCTCTCCCCCTCCCCCTCCCCCTCTCCTCCCTCTCCCTCTCCAGTCCGGCCCGAGAAACCTTCTGCGACATCCTGAGATGCTCTGGGACACCCTTAGCACTCTCCGGAGTCCCGCATCTCCCCCAGGACTCTTGTGTCTCTCCTGGGTCTTACTACATCCTCTCCCCCGGGACCCCTTCCTCTCCCTCCTGGGTCTCCCCTTAGGTTTTACTCAGCACCCCCCATCTGCCTGCCCCAAACCTTCTCCCGAGAAGTGCTCTCATCCCTCTCCCCTACCCTCTTTTCTCTGTCCCGTGACTCCCCATTTCCCATTCGAATTCATCTCCCCACAGGAGCTGCCCTGATCTCTCCTAGGAGCCCTTTTCTCCCCACTGGACCTCCACCTTGCCCCGGGGAGCTTTATTCTTCCTTGGTTCCCATCTATCCAGGGCTCATTCTTCTCTTTCCTAAGCACCCTCCTCCTTTCCCAGGGATATTGTGTCTCCCCCGCCGCCCCCGCCCGCTCAAGAATACCGTGGAGTCCCAGCTCAAGACACACGCACACACACAGACACACACACACACACACCACACACCCCCCCACACACCCCACCCCGTCAAACATACATCCTCTGGACTCTCCGTACCTGCTTTGTCCCCTACTCCAGAAGAAGCCGAGCTCAAGGGTCCACCTGAGACTGAGGGCACTTGTACATTCTCGTAGGTGAGTTCCTCATCCTCATCAGTCTCTGGGTCTGGAGAGGAGAGAAAAGGTGGAGGTGGGGGTGGGGTCATGAGGGAGCTTGGGGATGCAAAATCAGAGAGATGCCTCTTTCACCCTTACCCTGTCCTAACCGGCTGGAGATGCTCTTCTTCAGGGGAGCCTTCACGAACCGCAGGTCTGCATAGGTGATGGCCTCTGCCATTGCCCTGAGCACCTCTGCTCCCACCCGTCTCCTCCTTCTTCCACCAGCTCAAAGCTTCTCTTGACACTGTCGCCTCTGTCCCTTCACACTCTTAGGCTCTGTGTTCCTTCTGTGACTGCACAGCTTAGTGCTTTGCCCTGTGACTTCTAGTTACAAAAGAGGAAGATGTGAACAAGTGTCACACAGATGGGTTCAGTGAAGCAGATTGCATCCCTGAGCCTCTGCCAGAGGGACAGGGGATGGGAAACTGAGGTCCAGAACATGGGCGTAGAGCCTGGAGGTGTCACTGGATCACTACTTAGACCTGTCCCTTCGTCCTGCCTGTGCTCCCCCTTCATGCATCCCACACACACTTTGGCAGTGCTGCACTCAAAATGCATGTCCTCCTGATCATCTACCCTGATTTGCCCTATGCTCTTCTCTTGGCTGCTCTGTCCACAGGCTTATCCATGTGTTGTCAGAGCTCTTTTGTGCCCAGCTGAACCCAGAGGATCTCCCAAAGTAGAGCTCCATCCTCCCCATCATACTGGGGGATCCTAGTGTGGAGCCTCTGCTCTTCATCATCCCGGGGTTCCCAGCAGGTCTGGGCTCCCCGAAGGGGGCCTTTGATTTGGTGGAGCTCATTTCCCTATCAGTTTGGAGGCTTTCAGGGTAGACCCAGCTCCCTTCCTGCTGTAGTCCTGCAGAACTGCTGAGGATCTCACACACAGGGAGGTTCTCGCTCCAAAGCCCTTCCTGAGAATATGGCAGCGCTTTGGAGGATGCAGAGGATCTGGGACCACACTGTTTCTCTTCTATAAACCCCCCTGGATTCCCTCTTCACAGCCTTTCCCTGGCCTTGTCCAGCCTTGTTCCCTCCTGATCACACCTTTGGCCAGTCAGCCCCTTCCTCATCCCATCCTGCCCCCTGCTGGACTCATGGCATCCTCTGTCCAGACATCTGAGCTGGATCCAGCAAGCTGAGTCCAGGCGGCACAGGCTTGGGGATAGGCCTGGGCTGGGGGTGAGGATGAGGGACAACCCGAGCTTGTGCGCCTTTGGAAAAACCTGCAGCACTGAGCCCTTATGCACCCTTGTGGGGGGTCAGGGCAGATGAGCAAAGGAGTTGAGTGGGGATGAAGAAGGGTAGTGGCTTCCTAGAAGGGAGGCAAGGAAAGGGTTGGGTGCTGAGCTCACAAACTCCACCTGAGGTTTTGATATTTTCTTGGTTTTGTTTTATTTTGTTTTCTTACTTACCTAAAGTTCTTCCCTTAAAAAGTCTCAATATTGTCCCTTTACACCCAGCCCCAAGCAAAAAGGGGGTGTTTGTGGGAGAAGACCAAGGGCTTGAGGCCCTCATGGGTGGTGAAGGCCTGGCTGATAGAAGGGAGGGAAACCGGCAGGGGAAGGAGGGTTGTTGAGCATGGTTCAGTGGTGCTCCCTAATATTCTTTTACCAAGCAATGACCCCAAAAGGGCTTACTTCTGTGGGGGCGAAGAGGCTGAGGCAAGACAGGCTACGTGGGTGGGAAAAAACCCACTTGCAGGGAGTGGCATCTGCCCCCGCAGAACCTCTTCACACGCTGCACCTGTGGGGAGGAAAAAGGAAGGGGAAAGAGGTCCTTGCCGCATGCTAACAGCTGTAGTGTATGACTAGTGGTGTGTGGAGGGGTTGTAACGGGCCCTGTGGGTCTGCTGAGAGCTCCGCCCGGCAACACCACCCAGCCCTCGCAGAGAAAGTGCCCACTGAGGTAGGAAAGCACATTTGTCACCTGAGAAGAGGCAGGTGTATGCATGAGTGTGCGTGTGCACGTGTGAACATGCATCCTCAGGTCTCTGTGGTCCATCGGGGTGTCTGTGTGAGGTGCACTTCTATGTGAGAGGGGCTGCTGGAAGGGTTAAGCTCAGAGGATTCTGTGGGCTGAAGGGTGCCTGTGATGGCTGTTATTTTTTTCCATGGCAGGGAATGAGGAGCCATTTGCAGAAAAGTCTTAAAAGGTCATGGGGACAGATGATAGAAATATTTCTTTTCTCAAGCTCACTGTTTCCTAAGGTGACCCTGCAGCTGTTAACCATCCTTGCTTAATTAAAGTTTCCAACAACCCTCCCCCAGTCCCCCTATCAGGGCTTCCTCCAGATAACAGATGGTGGGAGGAGTTGGTGGTTCCCTGGGGGCCTCTGGGGCCTGTGAGCCTGAGTGGGAGCATATAGAACAGCTGGGGGCGGAGGGGGGCAGTTGGGGTACTTGGAGTAGTGTACGGGGGTGGGGGCAGCACATATGTAGATCAGTTGCAGGAACATTTGCAGGAATTCAGTAAACTGTAGATAATGCCCTAGTTTTCAGAACCAGTACACAAGTGAACATGGCCTGGATACCAGGTAAAATGCCAAACCAGGTTTCCAGTATGTGCTCAAAAAAAGAATCAATGAGTATGCTGCCTAAACGGACCCTTGGAGAGGCTTCAGAAGGAAGGGCACCCGATGCAACTGGAGTGAACTAGACTGCATTTCCACAATGGCGTGGGTACGTGAAGAAGGCCCGGCCTGCGTCTCTGTCCTCCTTAGCTCTTTTGGTGATGGTTACACAGCCCCTTAGGATGCTCTCCTTTCCCTTCCAATGTCTTCTTTTCGGATTAGGCTGTGAGAGTGGGATCCTTCTTCCCCATGTGTGTCACATGTGGTCTTTGCGAAATTGACCTTCACATTACCTTTCAAGACTGGACATCATGAAGGACGCCTGTAACTCAGGCTGCGCCTCACCTGCCCACATGCCAGGAGAGCCTGCGGGCTTTTCAGAGCCGAGAGGCCACTGCTATGCATTTCAGCTTTTGCATAGCCATCATATCACGTGAGCCCCTCCAGGACAGACACCAGAGCCCACTCCTTGCTCTCTCCTAGCTTCTGCATTGTGTATTACAGGGCTCTGGGTTGTAAAGGTCGACAAGAGGAGGGAGCCCAGCTATGAGGGCATTGGGAAAGAGTTTGCTGTGTGGAAAGGGGCTCATCTGTGTAAACTTTGGTGAAGTCCAGCCCACATCAAGAAGTCAAGGAAGTCTCCTGAGACCCTGGGAGTCAGGTGATATCCATCTTCATTACTTTAATCCACTGGCTCCAGGAGGCGCTAATCCATATAGACAGAGCATGGTAGGCAGATTAAGGGCCTCTCCAAAATGTCACACTTGAATCCCCAGAACCTGTGCATATGTTCCTTTACTTAACAAAAATGTAAGTGTGGTTAAGGACTTCCTGCATTTGGTAAAACGTCCAAGATACGTTAAATAATAAGAATAATAGCAGGCATCTCTGTCTAAATGTTTATTTTAATGGAAGTGGTTTTAATATTTCACCATTGAGAACAATATTTGCTGTTAGGTTTTAGTAAAAAGTCTTCATTATGTTTCAGCGGTTTTCCTCTTTTTCATTTTTACTTAGAATTTTTATTAGGGGGCTGCCAGGGTGGCTCAGTCCTTGGGCGTCTGCCTTTGGCTCAGGTTATGGTCCCAGGGTCCTGGGATCGAGCCCCGCATTGGGCTCCCTGCTCAGCGGGAGGCTTGCTTCTGCCTCTCCCACTCCCCTGCTTGTGTTCCCTCTCTTGCATTCTCTCTTTTTCTCTCTGTCAAATAAATAAAATAAAATCTTTAAAAAAAGTTTTATAAAAAAAGAATTTTTATTAGGAATTGTATTAAATTATGCTGGCTCTAAATATTAAATATGGGAACTTTTCTTCTTTTCCTATAGTTTTGACTAGATTAAATGGCATGGAAATTATCATTATTTAAGAATAAATAAAACTTGGGCACCTAGGTGGCTCAGTCCATTAAGCATCTGACTTTGGCTCAGGTCATGATCTCAGGGTCCTGGGATAGTGCCCCAGAGCCCCATTTTGGGGTTCTGTGCTCAGTGGGGAGTCTACTTCTTCTCCTTCTGCCCCTCCCCCAGCTCATTCTCTCTCTCTCTCTCTCTCTCTCTCTCTCTTTCAAATGAATTAAAAAAAAAAAAATAGATAAAACTCAGCTCTGGTGCCCTTTGAATGCAATCTTTTCCAAAAGTAGGTCTATAATCACCTCATTCTAGTTTTTTCTAAGGTAGGTTGAGCTATTCAAGCTTCTTTCTCTTGCGCCAGTTTTGGTCATTTACATTTTTCCTGAAGTGTATGCATTTCCTCTAAATTTTCCAGTTAGTTGATGAGTAATTCTAGGTTGCACCATTTTATAATTCTTTAATTTTTCTCTTCTGTCATGTTTTCTTTCTCGGAACTGATCTTGTCTATTTTTGCTCTTTTTTCTCTTTGTGCTTATAAGAGGTTTACTTTATTAGCCCTTTTATTTTTTTATTTTTATTTTTTAAAAAGATTTTATTTATTTGACAGAGAAACATACGGCAAGAGAGGGAACACAAGCATGGGGAGTGGGAGAGGGAGAAGCAGGCTTCCCTCGGAGCAGGGAGCCCAATGCGGGGCTCGATCCCAGGACCCATGACCTGAGCTGAAGGCAGATGCTCACCCATCTTAGCCACCCAGGCATCCCCCTTATTAGCCCTTTTAAAGAACTTTTTAAAATTCATGGTTTTTAGTATTTTTGTTCTCCATTTCATTCATGTCAGCTTTTGATATTTCCTGATTAATTTTGGTTTCTTGTTCTTTCTATAATTTATTGAAATAAATACTCCCTTTCTTTTTTTTTGTTTTAAAGATTTTTTAATTTATTTATTTGAGAGAGAGAGAGAGCATGAGAGGAGGGAGGGTCAGAGGGAGAAGCAAACTCCCGGCTGAGCAGGGAGCCCGGAGCCTGATGGAATGTGGGACTTGGGACTCGATCCCGGGACTCCAGGATCATGACCTGAGCTGAAGGCAGTCGCTCAACCAACTCAGCCACCCAGGCGCCCCTCTTTTTTTTTTTTTTTTTTTTTAAGCTTGCTATCTTTATAGCATTTTGGGGATATATGATACAGGGTAATTGAAAAGGTATCCAGTATTCACTCTTTTTCATTCAGTGTTTAAATTTTGAAAATACTATAATTTTGTTCTTTATTGAAACTAGTTTTACTGTATTGTAATTTACAT